CTTGAAAATTGGCCCTGAAGGCGTCCTCGAGTCCCTCCCAACTTCCAATTGAATTTTCGGGGAGGCTTTTCAACCAGTGCCGAGCTGGTCCCTTCAACTTGAGAGGAAGGTATTTGATGGCGTGGAGGTCGTCCCCATGAGCCATGTGGATATGAAGGATAAAATCCTCAATCCAGACCCCGGGGTCTGTCGTTCCGTCGTATGCCTCTATGTTCACAGGTTTAAAACCTTGTGGAAATTCATGGTTCAGCACCTCTTCGGTGAAGCACAGCGGGTGAGCAGCCCCTCTATTTCTGGACGTGTTATGGCATGTTGTCGGTTGTTGATGTGTCCGGTACTGATTCTGAACTGGTATCCAATCAGTCTGATCGTTTTGGTGACCATAGTCCTGTGTCGGGGCGTGTTCTCTGGATCCATAGATGGACCTGGTCGCGCCAGCCTTTTTATCCAAGAGCTCACGTAAATCGTGTGCGTCGTCGGCAGCTGCTCTATTGTGGTTTCGAAGTGGTTTGTTCGGCCTATTGGAGGTTTTGTTCTTCGATGGAACGGCCTCGTCGTCAAATTCTGGTAGCAGCGTGCGCTTTGGATAGCTCTCTGTTTGGCAATCGTCGCCGTACTTTTCTTCAGTGTCTAGCACTTTATTCCATCTGCAATTGAGCGTTTCCTGTGCGACTTTAAGTTTTTGCTTCTGCTTCTTTAGACTTCTTGCAGTGGCCATAAGCCTTCTGTGGAGGTTATCTCGTTCCACGCGTGTTTCTGGGATGATGAATGCATCGTCATCCGGACTGTGCTCTTGTCCCGGGGCGGTTTGATAAGTTCGTCCCTCGGGATCATTGTGATCGGGCGTCTGCTCCGAGCTATGTTCGGCGTGACCTGGTTCATCCTGCTCCATTGCTGGGTCCATATGGCCGTTGTTGCCTTTGGAGTTGACTGTGGTGTCGATCTTTCTAGCGCTGTTATCGCTATTTTTACTGTTGCTGGACTTGGAGCGGCGCCTGCGCCATCGTTTTGGCTTTTGTCCGGGGGTTTTATCCTCTGGTTTGTCGCCGTCGTCCTCTTTAGGCATATCCACCATGTATATATCGTATGACGAGGTGGCAGTCCAGCGCCCCGTTGGTTCTGAATCGTTTCCTGCGCCGACGTCCATACCGTCGGTATCATCGGAGTCGAAGTCAAGCATGTCTGATACATTGTCGAAAGTGGCTATGAAGTGGGTGGTGGGTGGGCAACGGAATTCTTCGTCGCCTTCTTCCCCCTTGAGCCGGACATAGTTCGGCCAAGAGTCTCCTGACAAAGAGAGAGACTTTAATGAGTTCAGCATGTCGCCAAAGGGCGAGTACTGGAAGATATCCGCAGCGGTGAACTCCATTACCGAAGCCCAACCAGGTCCGGCGGGCTCGGGAATGCGCGGACTAGAACCTACAGCAGGATACAAGTCCGGGGGTCCGATGTCATAGGATTCCTTGGGGGTGAAGTCTGTGTTCGGCTCTACTGCTGATGGGTGTGCGGCCTCCGGTGCGGGGTCCAACCACCCGTCCTTGGGCGACGCAATCTGCCCCGGATTTAGGTCCGGGGCTCCTGCAGGGGCGATATCTCGAGCATTGTCCGACAGCAGGTCTAAGCCATGCTCATCGTGACTGTCCGACGCTCCTGGCATAGGCTTGAATCCGTTGAAGATCAAGTCTCTGCGGATATCGGCCGTGTAGTTTAGGTTTCCGAACCTGACCTGAAGGCCAGGGGCGTAGCTGTCGATCTGTTCCAGATGACCAAGCGAATTGGCCCGTAGTGCGAAGCCACCGAATACGAAGATCTGTCCGAGGAGAAAAGTCTCATCCTGGACCATGTTGTTGTTGACGATTGAAGGAGCCATCAAGCCTTGCAGCAACGACACAGAGGAACTCTCAATGAAAGCACCAATGTCGGTGTCAAAACCGGCGGATCTCGGGTAGGGGGTCCCGATCTGTGCGTCTAAGGCTAATGGTAACAAGAGGCAAGGGACACAATGTTTACCTAGGTTCGAGCCCTCTCGATGGAGGTAAAACCCTACTTCCTGCTTGATTGATATTGATGATATGGGTGTTACAAGAGTTGATCTACCACGAGATCATAGAGGCTAAACCCTAGAAGCTAGCCTATGATGATTATGATTCTGTCTCTAAGGACTAAACTCTCCGGTTTATATAAACACAGGAGAGCGCTAGGGTTTACATGGAGTCGGTTATAAAGAAGGAAATATAATATCTGGATCGCCAAGCTTGTCTTCCACGCAAAGGAGAATTCCATCCGGACATGGGACAAAGTCTTGAGTCTTGTACCTTCACGGTCCAACAGTCCGTCCAAAGTATATAGTCCGGCTGTCCGGACACCCCCTAATCCAGGACTCTCTCACCACCCACGGCAGTCAATCACCTTTCCCTCTCCCCCATTCTATTTCCTTTCCGAGGTTGTAGCTGCCAATCTCGTCCCCGCTACCGTTCCGTCGAGGTCACATTGGCGGGAAAGGAGGATGAGAGGCCTCAGATCGCGCCAACGTCCTCCTTGCGCTAGATGGCGGCATAAATGCACAGGCTACCAACTGCGTTCATGGCGCTCCGGCGGGACACCTCGTCGAAGAGGACGTCTTGCTGGTCGTAGTAGAAGTTGGGACAGTCCAGGCATGGCATGTCCTCTGTGTATAGTTTGGACAGCGTACAGTTTGATGTTTGCCCCTGCAATTTTTATGTATGAACTCCAGAACAACGAATAAATCTTGTGGGATAGGTTTACCTTCATGGAGATGATTCGAGGGTGCAATTGTCTGATCCACTCTTTTCTTAAATGGCAGGGAAGGCTCACCTTAGGCTCTTTATTGTGGGTAGCTTGACGTTGTTGAGGTACGAAGTCTGAATGTGAGTACTACCTACTATGCTGCTTGTGCACTTGCTGAATTGAATGGATAAGTTTTTCTCCCGACTACTCTTCCGATTTCCGAATGATGGTCTTAAATGAACCAAATTACCTATGTACGGTAGTTGGTATTTAGGGAGCTTCAAGCTTTCTTTTCTTGTGCCTCGTGATAGTAGTTGTTTGCGCAACTTCTAGGTTTATTTTCTTTTGCTTGATGATAGTAGCGTTGAGTAGATTATTTCCCCACCCTGATGTGGTCGGTCATCCTTGTATTTTCAGGTTGCCGAATATTGTTGATCGAGTCAATGGATGTTTCTTGGTTACTCTTATGGTGAGGAGCAGATAGTTCCCTTCGAAGATGGTGTTGCCAACACAACATGTCCAACTTGTGGATCCCACGACACAATTCAGATGCTGACAATGAACCGGACTACTTGTTGCAATCTGAACACCTAAAGAAGGTTCGTATACTCCAAACAAGATATTTGCTTCAGTTTCACTGTCGTTGAGTTATTTGTGTTATTTTCCCAAACAAGATATTACCAAGTTATGTTGCATGTGTGCTGGTAATTTCGTCTTTGTTAATTAGGATGATGCATATGGTAAATTTTTCATTGGTAGGATGCTACAGCTGAAGTTCTGGCTGTTAAATTTTTATTTTTACTTGTAGTTTGGAACTACTCTTTTGGTATTCCAAATTTCACTTATGTAGTTTCTAGAGATTAGCACTAAACACTTCTTTTCATTTTTTTGTTCTTTTCTTCAATGAGTACTTTTCTATTCTTCTCAACTTTTGATGCAGAAACTAACATCTGGACAACAATTGATATCATCAACAATATAAGAAGTTGTGTGATTGAATCAAGTTGCATAGGAAAATCACAAATTCCTGTCGACGTTCAGGTTCCTGGACCTGCTGCAGCGCTGATTCTACGACGACAATGTCGGGCGCGAAGCGCTGGTGGAGATGTGCGCATACGAGCAATTGCAGCAGCAGGCGGTGCTCCATGGTGAATTGGTGATCGATGATTATTGAGAGTTAGTATTATCAAAAATCATGCCAACAATATGTAGTGCTTATTTTACTTTTATATTTTTGGAAATCCTTGAAAAGAATAGAAAAGAAATGATTAGATATTTCCACCCTAGATCTATTTTATTCGTCTCACTGTTGCAACAATGACATGGAATGCATAGGAAAGGGTATGAGCAAATTTGATTTACAGAAACCGGCAAAGAGTAGGCATCTAAAAAGGCAGTGGACTAAAGATGAGCACATGGTTGTATACACCATGCTTGGCTCGGGGGGCATGACGGGCAGCGCACGCCTCCTTCCCTTGATGGCGGTGGTGAATTGGCACGAACACGAGGGAGAGGATCAGGGTGTAGAGCGGGGCGATTGGTTGGGTGGGTGGGGGGGGGGGGCTCCTTGATGTTCCCTCGCGAAGTACAATTTCATGGAGCAAGAGCGCCATGTCGAATGTGAGGTGGGCACCATCCAGTTTTAAAAGAGAGAGCTCCAACGAGAAATGCCTTGCTGCGGCAGGAAGCCGAGCGGGAAGGGGTGGATCCGGTACGAAAAGGGAAGGGTGTGTCGTGGCATGTGGTTTTTGTGTGGAGAAAGCGTCTTGAAGATAACATGACGGATAATCCAGACAATATTTTTCCCCATATATGAGAAGGATTTAGTGAGCCCATATTGTCCATACTGTTGGATTTTAAGACCCGTTAGGCGCCTGTTTGATGTTTAAACATGCTCAAACGTATAAGGAAGAAATGAGCTTCATCCTTGAAGACGACCATAATCATTTGTCTGATTCATTTATATGGACAATAGCCCGCGAGGGCGTTTTAGGAGTATATGACCATTTGGTGGTTCACTGGGTGTGTTTGTAGATGTCTGGATCCCTAGATAAAAATATAAAATAAACACAGCAACACGTGCTTCTTTTCAAAAAGGTAAAAAATAACAGCTTGGTGCAGTACTTGAACCGGAGGCTGACGATTGAACAAGAGCATTATTTCGTTTATTTCATTCAGGTCGCGATACAACAATGCATATTTACAACTTCTAACTCCGTCGCTTCTCTCCCGTGAACCTCCCGTCGGCCATCTCACTCCCGTCCCATCACCGCGTTCTTGAACCTCCTAACCAGCTCCTTCCTGCACGATCCAACCACGAATCAGTTAGCCATGAACAAAAATCGTAAAATAATCGTGTGCCGTGTGCGTGTTGGGATCCTCACCGGAGCAGCTGCCGGTCGAAGGCGGAAGCGGAGAGCAGTCCTCTGTTCTCCTCGGCCCGCCTGATGAGGTAGGGGATGATGTGCTCCACGGGGCCGTAGGGCAGGTACTTGCTCACCTGGAAACCGGCGTTGCGGAGCCCCAGGGACAGCCCGTCGGCCATGCCCATCAGCTGCGCGAACTGCAGGTTCCGGTCGCCCTTGCCGATGCCCAGCTCCTGCGCCCTCGCCGCCGCCAGCTGCCCGGACTCCACGTTGTGGGTGGCCAGCATCACGGACGCCGACCCGCGGCGGACGCGCTCCAGGAGGAAGGCCGCGCAGCCGTTGTAGCAGTCGTGGGTGTCCTGGATGCTGCCGTGGATGGGCGACGGCACGCCCAGCGACTCCGCCAGCCGGGCCTCCCTGGTGAGGTAGGCGCCGCGGACGATCTTGACCCCGAGGCACACGCGCTCCTCCTCGGCCGCGCGCACCATGGCCTCCAGCCGGTCGCGCGCGTCGCGGAGGTACGCCTGGACGGTGCCGTGCACGATAGGCCGCCCGCCGCCGTTGCACGCCAGCGCGCCCACGAACGTGAAGTAGTCGATGGACGGCTGTACCGACGCGTACTCGGCGTCCACCAGCAGCGGGATGTCGTGCTCCGCGCACCGCGCGCCCACGGCCAGCAGCCGGTCGTGCGCCAGCTGCAGCTCGCGCTCCTCCTCCGCCGTCAGCGCCGCCGGCTCCGACGGCGTCAGGTACAGCGGGCTCGAGTCGGACAGGATCGGGAAGGCGTGCTGCTTCCACGGCAGGTGCACCGACGGGTTCTTGTGCTGCCACCGCAGCAGGTCGCTCGTCTTCTCCAGCAGCGCGATCGGGCACAGCGCCGTGATCTTAATACACACGCTCGCCTGCACGCACAAACAGAACAATAAGTAGTAGGAGTACCAAGCTTATTCAGACTGGCTAATTATTTCTGAATATTTTGGTTTAGCTGCTGGGAAACGTCTAAATAAGGAAAAACAAATAGTGGTGATTAGTAGTAGGGTTTTGATGGGAAGCTGTAGATGAAAACGAGCGGTGGAGAAGCCATGGCGATGGCGAGCTTGTCGGAACACGATCAGGCGGCTGGTTTTCAGGGCCCACGCACAGAGACAGCCGTGCGATTCAGTTTACTGCGAGAAGATTCCCAAGGAATCCGGGTGTCCACTAGCGCAGACCGAGGATTCCCTCCGACGTGGCACTCTTCCGTACCACTGCTAGGCGCGCACGCACGCCACGGATGCGACGAAGGGAAAAAAACAGAGTTATGTACGGTTGACGCACCGATCCCGGGGGCAGCGCGGCGGCGACGTCGACAGCGGCGAGGAAGCCGGCGACGTTGCGGTCGCAGGCGGCGCCGTCCTCGGCGTCCTCGATGCCGTAGTCGAGGATCCCGCCCATGCCACCGCGCCAGAGGCGCTGCACCCGGGCCGCGGCCTCATCGGCGGTCTCCCCGGCGCAGAAGTGCTTGTACGCCGTGGCCCGCGCCGCGGCCTGGACCACGGGGCTCGCGGCCACCGCCGGAGACCGCAGCGCCGCGAGGCCCACGTCCACCAGCGGGCCCGCGGACATCAACTGCAGCGCCGCGAGCGTGCGCACCAGAGCCGTGGACGGCTCCCCGGTGAAGAGCCTCCCGGTGTCCTCAAACTCCAGCACCTGATGCTGCTGCTGCTGCGCGGACGACGGCACGGGCACCGCCTCGGCGCCGGCGGCCGCGACGGCCGCCTCCGGGAGCTTGGCTGCGGCGGCGAAGGTGGAGAGCGCGCGCTTCGTGATGCGGGAGGCGATGGCCATGGAAGGTCGGGGTCGGAGGGGTCGCTAGAAAGCAATGGAAAGAGACGCTGGCTGTTCTTTTCCTGTGACCGGACGATGGATGAAACCACTGACCAGCGAACGAACGACGGATCAGAGGAATCAAGAACCGAGTAGCTAGAGGAGGAAGAAGAAGTCGGAGACGACGCTGGTGTTGATCGGTGCAGTGAGGGAACGTCTGGCTGGGGAGGGGGTGTGACGCTGGGAAGAAACGAATGCGTAGGAATCCGAGAATGGTGGAAGCAGGTGTGGCGCGGCAGCCGGGTCTTATAGAGCGAGCGAGCGAGCGAGGAAGACTCGCGAAACGGAAGGAGAAAAAATTCTACCACAGGTGAGCTGTAAATCGGTTGGAAAATAGGGAGAGAGGTTAGCGGGGGAGGAGTGGCATGGGCGCGAGATCCCTGGGGATTCGGTCGGAAGAGTTGAACGCTTGACTGACTCGGATCCTGCGTGGAAACTCATGGGAGCGCCCGGTGACTCGGATCGCGCGTGGAGTTGGACGGTTGAGCGGACGTTGCTTGCACGCATCTTATCGCACTCCGCTCCTTGCCATTTTTTTTCCTTCTTGACAAGGAATCAGGATGCATGTAGCTTTCGTTGCCCTCCTGATTTTCTTGCTCTTTGATGGGGAATCTCTGGGTGTAACTTTCGTTCACTATTGCCCTCTTTTTCTTACCATTTATTCATCTTGACAAGGATTCTGGGAATCTAGGTGTACCGCACTCTTTTCATTCTTGTCAATCTCAATAGGGAATCTAAATATAGCTTTCGACGTCAAATTATGGATTTTTAACCGCAGATTTATCCTCCTATGCAAAGATCAATTATACACGTTTTTTTCATGGTGAGAACTTACAGTTTTGTTCGTATACTACTACTAGCAGAACGCCCGTGCGTTGCTACGGGCTATCCGCAATATATGTAACACCCGGGTTCAACACAAAAACCCTATTCAATGATACACCTTTCATTTTTCTGTGGGAACCTTTCATTCCCGATCGATTTCCCGCCGTAGCGAGACATTTCTCGTTTTTTCTCTCACAGGAGCCACCTTCTTTAAAAGCAGATGATGGCCGACTCATCTTCGCCGTGCATTGCAGTAAGCATGAAATTTTCTTGTTTACGATATAATAGAGTGAGTTAAACTAACACATACTATTGGGACAAAACAATAAATAACTACAGAGATCTTTCCTAGTCACCAATAAGTTTCACCTTCATCCCACATATGCTAGAAGGGATAATTGTTGTTCTTCTCTTCCTCGTATTTCCCTACATCTTCTACTCCTCGCCTCTTTGTCAATCTGTTTTATTGGCACCAACCAACACCACGTCAACATTAGTGTGTTCATCATCGATGCCTCATCTTCTTTCTCATTCCTCGCCAACTTTAGTTCTTGTTCCTACTTATTTCCTAGAATACTCTTTCTTTCTTTTTTTTCTCTTATATTTGTAACACTCTTTCTTTCTCCAACACCATGCATCACTTGGTGGCTTTAGTTCTTTTTCCTTCTTGTTTCTGGAACACTCTTCTTTTTTATTATAGCATGAACCTGTTGGAAATATGCCCTAGAGGCAATAATAAATTGATTATTATTATATTTCCTTGTTCATGATAATCGTTTATTATCCATGCTAGAATTGTATTGATAGGAAACTCAGATACATGTGTGGATACATAGACAACACCATGTCCCTAGTAAGCCTCTAGTTGACTAGCTCGTTAATCAATAGATGGTTACGGTTTCCTGACCATGGACATTGGATGTCATTGATAACGGGATCACATCATTAGGAGAATGATGTGATGGACAAGACCCAATCCTAAGCCTAGCACAAGATCATGTAGTTCGTATGCTAAAGCTTTTCTAATGTCAAGTATCATTTCCTTAGACCATGAGATTGTGCAACTCCCGGATACCGTAGGAGTGCTTTGGGTGTGCCAAACGTCACAACGTAACTGGGTGGCTATAAAGGTACACTACGGGTATCTCTGAAAGTGTCTGTTGGGTTGGCACGAATCGAGATTGGGATTTGTCACTCCGTGTAAACGGAGAGGTATCTCTGGGCCCACTTGGTAGGACATCATCATAATGTGCACAATGTGACCAAGGGGTTGATCACGGGATGATGTGTTACGGAACGAGTAAAGAGACTTGCCGGTAACGAGATTGAACAAGGTATCGGTATACCAACGATCGAATCTCGGGCAAGTACCATACCGCTAGACAAAGGGAATTGTATACGGGATCGATTGAGTCCTTGACATCGTGGTTCATCCGATGAGATCATCGTGGAACATGTGGGAGCCAACATGGGTATCCAGATCCCGCTGTTGGTTATTGACCGGAGAACATCTCGGTCATGTCTGCATGTCTCCCGAACCCGTAGGGTCTACACACTTAAGGTTCGATGACGCTAGGGTTATAAAGGAAGCTTGTATGTGGTTACCGAATGTTGTTCGGAGTCCCGGATGAGATCCCGGACGTCACGAGGAGTTCCGGAATGGTTCGGAGGTAAAGATTTATATATAGGAAGTCCTGTTTCGGCCATCGGGACAAGTTTCGGGGTCATCGGTATTGTACCGGGACCACCGGAAGGGTCCCGGGGGCCCACCGGGTGGGGCCACCTGCCCCGGGGGCCACATGGGCTGTAGGGGGTGCGCCTTGGCCTACATGGGCCAAGGGCACCAGCCCCTAGAGGCCCATGCGCCAAGATATAGGAAAAAGGGGAGAGTCCTAAAGGGGGAAGGCACCTCCGAGGTGCCTTGGGGAGGATGGACTCCTCCCCCCCTCTTAGCCGCACCCCTTCCTTGGAGGAAGGGGCAAGGCTGCGCCTCCCCCCTCTCCCCTGCCCCTATATATAGTGGAGGGGAGGGAGGGCATCCATACCTGAGCCCTTGGCGCCTCCCTCCCTCCCGTGACACCTCCTCCTCTCCCGTAGGTGCTTGGCGAAGCCCTGCAGGATTGCCACGCTCCTCCATCACTACCACGCCGTTGTGCTGCTGCTGGATGGAGTCTTCCTCAACCTCTCCCTCTCTCCTTGCTGGATCAAGGCGTGGGAGACATCGTCGAGCTGTACGTGTGTTGAACGCGGAGGTGTTGTCCGTTCGGCACTAGGATCATCGGTGATCTGAATCACGACGAGTACGACTCCATCAACCCCGTTCACTTGAACGCTTCCGCTTAGCGATCTACAAGGGTATGTAGATGCACTCTCCTTTCTACTCGTTGCTGGTCTCTCCATAGATAGATCTTGGTGTTACGTAGGAAAATTTTTGAATTTCAGCTACGTTCCCCAACAGTGGCATCATGAGCTAGGTCTATTGCGTAGATTCTTTGCACGAGTAGAACACAAAGTAGTTGTGGGCGTCGATATTGTTCAATATGCTTGCCGTTACTAGTCTTATCTTGATTCGGTGGCATCGTGGGATGAAGCGGCCCGGACCAACCTTACACGTACGCTTACGTGAGACCGGTTCCACCGACAAACATGCACTAGTTGCATAAGGTGGCTGGCGGGTGTCTGTCTCTCCCACTTTAGTCGGATCGGATTCGATGAAAAGGGTCCTTATGAAGGGTAAATAGCAATTGGTATATCACGTTGTGGTTCATGCGTAGGTAAGAAACGTTCTTGCTAGAAACCCATAGCAGCCACGTAAAACATGCAAACAACAATTAGAGGACGTCTAACTTGTTTTTGCAGGGTATGCTTTGTGATGTGATATGGCCAAAAAGGATGTGATGAATGATATATGTGATGTATGAGATTGATCATGTTCTTGTAATAGGAATCACGACTTGCATGTCGATGAGTATGACAACCGGCAGGAGCCATAGGAGTTGTCTTTATTTATTTGTGACCTGCGTGTCAACTTAAACGCCATGTAATTACTTTACTTTATTGCTAACCGTTAGCCATAGTAGTAGAAGTAATAGTTGGCGAGGCAACTTCATGGAGACACGATGATGGAGATCATGATGATGGAGATCATGGTGTCATGCCGGTGACGATGATGATCATGGAGCCCCGAAGATGGAGATCAAAAGGAGCAAAGTGATGATGGCCATATCATGTCACTATTTGATTGCATGTGATGTTTATCATGTTTATACATCTTATTTGCTTAGAACGACGGTAGTAAATAAGATGATCCCTTACAACAATTTCAAGAAGTGTTCTCCCCTAACTGTGCACCATTGCGATAGTTCGTGTTTCGAAGCACCACGTGATGATCGGGTGTTAGATTCTAACGTTCACATACAACGGGTGTAAGACCGATTTACACACGCGAAACACTTAGGGTTAACTTGACGAGCCTAGCATGTACAGACATGGCCTCGGAACACGGAGACCGAAAGGTCGAACATGAGTCGTATAGAAGATACGATCAACATGAAGATGTTCACCGATGATGACTAGTCCGTCTCACGTGATGATCGGACACGGCCTAGTTTGACTTGGATCATGTAATCACTTAGATTACTAGAGGGATGTCTATCTGAGTGGGAGTTCATAAGATGAACTTAATTATCCTGAACATAGTCAAAAGGTTTTTGCAAATTATGTCGTAGCTCACGCTATAGTTCTACTGTTTAGATATGTTCCTAGAGAAAAATTAGTTGAAAGTTGATAGTAGCAATTATGCGGACTAGGTCCGTAAACTGAGGATTGTCCTCATTGCTTCATAGAAGGCTTATGTCCTTAATGCACCACTCAGTGTGCTGAACCTCGAACGTTGTCTGTGGTTGTTGCGAACATCTGACATACACGTTTTGATAACTACGTGATAGTTCAGTTAAACGGTTTAGAGTTGAGGCACCAAAGACGTTTTTGAAACATCGCGAAACATATGAGATGTTTTGAGGGCTGAAATTGGGATTTCAGGCTCGTGCCCATGTCAAGAGGTATAAGACCTCCGATGACTTTCTTAACCTGCAAACTAAGGAGAAAAGCTCAATTGTTGAGCTTGTGCTCAGATT